AAATTTCCTTCAGGTTGCGACCAATTCGGGGTGCGACCAGAGTCACGGAACGAATTAAGTTCATAAACCGAGGTTCCACTGTAAATCTAACAAGAACTTGCTCTGATATATCTGCAGTAGCCTATTTGGAAGAATTTGACGCTTCTTGTTTCAGTTAGAAGAAGGCTTAAACCTTTACTCAGGTGTTTAGCATATTTTATGCTACTGACTCTAATTATTTTGTTATATTGAATTTCAAATGGCATTTTAGGTTTTGCGCACCACCAAAATCCATAAAATGAGAGTGGAAGGCATAGATATAAATATATTTTAAAAAGTAATATTAAAAATGGATAAACAAAAGAGAGATTGTTTGGGTTTACAATAAGCCATAACAGCATATGAACCCAGTCACTATAGTTTGTAAAACATGGTTCATGGCTTAGTATATTGGGCAAACCTCCAAAGAATGGCTTTTTGAGCTAACTATGGCTGACCAAACTTTGCCTTACTGTGCTTTGTGAACCAGGTCATTTTGCAAGAAGGAGTCATGCACTAGGATTATAATCCCCATATTTTCTGAAATCTGGCCACTTTCTATTTTCCAATAACCCCAGATGGTTGCAGATCAACGTTTAGTTAAAACCAAATTCTATTGCTGGCCATCGGTACAGTTATAGCGTGATGGATGCTCCTGGTGTGAATTAGGGTAGTCTGCAGAGATTGGATTTCACTCTGCTGTGTCATCCCAACAGATCCCAACACCCTAAAAAGTGCTAACCACAAGTTAACAAGCTCACCTTAATTAGTTGATTAGAACCCTCTGGCTGGCTGGACCTGCTGCCTGAAACTGACCAGACTTTAATCAGTTTCACACTGAAGGCTTTTGTTGTCAGGTACAGGAAATTTGGTCCTAAATGCTCTCATTGGTTGGCATTTTTTTATTGCCATTTATTACTGTCATATTTGCAAATGGTTGCTAAGCAAGGTAGTTGCTAAACCAGGATAGCTGTATTGTGTTGCTGCAGAGATGTTTGGAAGCTGGTGGCCACAGAGATGCATGCCTGCCAAGCCTGTGCAATAGGAGGGTGGGAACTTGGCTATCTATTCCCTGGTGATGGTTAGACTTGACTGCAGCTGAAGGAGTTAGTCCTCCATTTGTGACCCGATAGGATGATTCTTTATCCATTTATTTTTTTAATTAAAAACATTCAATTCTAGTAAAGACAGCCATAGGAGACTACAGTAATTTTGATATGAATAACATTATAAAACAGTTTGTAACTTTTAAAAATAAAGTCAGAGAATGTTAATACTAAATGTCCCTTTAAATAATCACAAAGCTTTTCCTGCCTTGTGACTCTTAGATTAAAATCCTAGTTGCTGAAGGAAATACTGCTTCAACAACATTCTACCAGTTATTAGCCATAATTAGTAACAACGGAAAGTATCTCAGAAAAAATTACTTTGCCCCAGAAAAAAATGTAGAAATTACAGTGGCCAAACATGCACAGACACAATGTAGCCAATTTGATGAACCTAAGAAGCTATTTCACACCTCGCCCCAATATTTTGTTTTTAAGAGCTAAGAAAAATGTTGTATTATTGCAGCTGGAGCAGCATTTAGTTATTCAGTTAATTATAATATTATTTTTTTTTTGTTGTTCCAATAAACCCTGGGTAGGACCTAGACATGAGATGAGCTGTATTCATGCACTGGGGCTTTTCAGGTTCTTCATACATACTCCCTCTACAGCCCCCTGCATCTCCCCTAAAAGCTGAAAATCCAGATTCCCCTGAATGGCACAAGATCACTGAATTGGACAAGGCTGCCTTACGTGCAAGTCATATCTGATCCAGGCCTTTGTATTATCTGGGAACATCTGGAAGTATCATGAATTTTACAACACCAGATGTGTATGGATTCAAAACTTGTCACAATCTTGCTGCCAGAACTGGCCTTCAAAGGATATCTTGGGATCTATCAGTCAGTGATATGAAAGCCAGAGGGAAAGTGTTATGGAAGAACACCCTCAGCTTAAGGCACAGCCTTTGTAACAACTACAAAGCTAACCAGCTGGGTCTAAAGCAGAACCATTTCACGACAAAGAGTTTTAGAGGAACCAGATAATTCTGTTGCTGCAATTTAAACATCATTACATAATTGCCAGTGCATTGCTGTTATCATAACTACCCCAGGCTACCTGCACAGATTTGAGCTGATCAGCGATTGAATAGAAAGTGAGCTCTAAATTTAAGAAACCCTTATTTTACTTTGAGACAAAGGTGTGCACACGTGTGTGTGCACATGCATGTAAATTCAGGAATGTGCATGTATGTATGAGTATGTATTTGTCAAAAGTGTCTCCAGGATTAGGGGTGGGTAACTACGCTATTAGTTCAAAATTCTCTTAAGAGCATGTTCTTTCCCATTCATGCAGAGAAAAGAGATGGCAAAAGAAAGATGTTCCTATTGACTTCAGGGTCTGACCCCATAGATTGCTTGCTTCAGGCCTGGGCATCATTTGACTCCAACAGGGTACTTTTAAGGATATCGGTCCTCTAGAGTTAAAAGGTTGCCCATCCCAGCTCTGTCTGATCTTGCCCAGGCACAGTTTTTTTTTGTTTTTTTTCCTGGGTGACTGCAGTGATGCTACATGGTCAGGAGTCTGAGAGACAGATCTATGATCTAAAGCCAAAGGTAGATGCACATGACACAGCCTAATTAATAAGGCTGAACATGGCTCAAAAATGATTTGCAAGAGGTGCTTCAGAATGTACAGGGATACAAGCACAGCACCTCTTGAAAATAGCCACATCTTTCTTTGGATTTCTGTAGGAGCTTAAAAACAGATTTGGCTACAGTTGACTCAAAGGAGCAGTGTCTTTTTTTCAAGACATGACTGCTTTAAAGAGGTGATGTGCTTGTTCTCTGGCATGCTCAAAAACATCTCTTCCAAATTATTTTTGAAGCATGCAAAGTTCTACTAATTCTGAATATCCATAACCCTTTAGAATGAGAAATTGTGAGGGGCTTCTCCTTACCCAACTTTAGATTCAAACAGAAAATTAGAGCTCATTTCTTTTATATGCTGAAATTACAGCCCAACAGAGATGGCAGGTTAGAACACAAACTTTGTAGAAAGTTTCCACATTTTAAATGGATATTTTTAAGAACGTAGTGTCCTCAGTACAACAGCCCCTCCAAAGTGGGAGTGGCTGATGGTGGGGGGACAAAGGATACCTGTAAATGTTGTTTCTTTCTTGCAGCCTCCATTTGTGATGGAGAAGTGGATTGTGGGGATAGGAAAAGATCAGACTGTTGAATGCACAGTGACTTACGAGGTTAGTGTTTGAAGAAAAATAAAACCAAGTCACTCATTCTGCCAGCTTGGTTTCACAATGAGGAACTTGCATTCCTAAAATTTAGGGCTCACTGTTGTAAAGGTCTGTAATTCATTTTAAATTGCCAATCTCCTATAAATCTGAATGCTATAAACCATGCCTAGACTGCTCACTGGGAAAACTTGATCACTTAAGTTTTAAAAAGTTTCTTGTCTCTTTTTTCCTTTGAGTAACGGTTGGTGTAGGTAGCATTTGCTGAACGGATCATCTTTCTTATCTTTTTGACACACCACTAATTAGCAGACTAGAGGAACAACAGGAGAAGGGAAAGGGCGAGAAGGAAAACATAAAATAAAATCTGGAACCAATTTAGCAACATATAATAGGGTGGGAATTAGCCTTTGTATGAGTAGGGTTTTGGATATTTACAAAAAAAAATGTGTTTCATAAAAACCAATGGGATATTTCACACTGAGGCTAATAATTGAAATCTTGGCTCTATCTGTTGCAAGGATTCAAGCAGTGAGAGAGGCTGATAGGAAAATTCTGGACCTTGCATGCCTCAGAAGTGGAGAACAGCCACTCTCTGTGAACTGGGAAAACAACCCTGGGCTTCTTTCAGACTGCAGCTCCTCACAGGAATTAGAGACTGATAGCAAGTTTAAAGGCACACTGCCATAAGCAGACCCCAGCAACCAGAAATCCCTAGTGACTTCTTCCTCTTGCAGAAAAGATTATTTACTTGAAGCATCGTAACTACGAAATGCTTCTATTAAAAGCCAATAGTTAAAAGATTGCCCACCACTGTTTGGGTAGCAGGCAGAAAGAAAAAACTCTAATTTGCTATTGGATTCCTTGTACAAAGAAAAAAAACATTCTCGTAGATGGGGACTGATGTTACTACCTGTTTCAGGATCATACATTCAAAGCCTGGCTGTGTTCTTGTGGGGTTTTATCTTCCTTCTGAAGAACTGCTTGTTTTTCTCTCTTGGACAGGCTGATGTCCACACTCCCAAATCCACCAAACATATCCAGCAGGTGCAATGGAGTCAGGTGAAACTGCAGGATGAAGTGAAATCAATACAGCTGAAAATACAGACATCTCTCCCAAACTTGGAAGGCGACCCTCGGAGTAGATCCAATTCTAGTAAGTCAGCTGGGGCAACGTTTGGGGGAAGAGCACATACCAGAGAAACAAAACCTTTTCAAAAATCGGCATGTTCCCCAAAGCCAGACTCACTAAGAGGGAAAGGGTCTGTCTAAAGCAGTGTTTCTCAACCTCAGCAATTTTAAGATGTGTGAACTTCAACTCCCAAAATTTCCCACCCAGCATGCTAGCTGGGGAATTCTAGGAGTTGAAGTCCACACATTTTAAAGTTGCTGAGGTTGAGAAATACACTGATCTAAAGTAACTCACAGCCTCTAGATGTGCAGAACTGCAACTCCCAGGACTTTTTGCCAAGGTGACTGGGAGGCCTAAGGAAATTCTAGCACATCTTCACCCTATTGCTGAAGGCTACTTTAAATCAGAAAGCTACACTTCTGAGCACAAAAGGGTAGCCTGGGATCTCCATCCATTTGGCACCCCCAAACTGTGTGGAGCCAAAATTGAGGGTCTTTTTGTTTTGTTTTTAGGAGATGGGATTTTTTAAAGAAGCCAAAGGAGTGTAGATGCTTAAGAAACCAGTTTTACCTCTTAAAACTCTTGAACCCTCCCCCTCAATGGGCCGGGCCAAGCCCACTTTTAGAGTGAGTGTCTTGTCACACTGCACACAGCCTGGAACAGCCCTTGAGAACAGAATTTGCACACCACTATTCTAGGGTCCCTGGCTGAGGATATTGTTTGCATTCATACTTACATCTAAAACCCTCTCTCTCTTTTTTGCCTTAATAAGGCAAATAAACTCTTTTTATTTTAAGCCCCACTTATTGCTCAGTCAAAGGGTCTGCAGTTCATCAGGATAGAAACAAAGAGGGCATTTATATTTATTTCTTAGATTTATATCTTACTTTGATTTTTTACAATTTGAGGAGGCATACATAATGCTCCCTCTTCCTATTTTCCCCACAACAGCAACCCCATGAGGTGGGTTGGTCTGAGAGAGAGTGACTGACCCAAAATCACCCAGCCGGCTTTCATGCCTAAGGCAGGACTAGAACTCATAGTCTCCCTGTTTATAACACCCTAATAGTTCTGGTTCTCATTTACACGGAAAGAGGCATTCTGTTAATTATATCTTATTATTTTCAGTAAGTTTTAAAGATGTAATTAAAGTTGTAATGACTTGTGTCCCACTTGGAATACTTCTGAATTGCACCTGTATCACCAGTTTTGAACCAAAGGATACTGATGAAAGATGTCAGCGCTCTAAAGAACTGTGATGTGCTCTTTAGGGGAGTGCTTGGGAATATGTGTAGTTAACAGAAGATCTGTCTAATCAGTGAGGTGGTTAAAGTTACATTGCAAATCTCTGCAATTAAAATCATCATAACAGTATCTGAAGAACAGAGTTCAACTGTAGAAACATTACACCTGAAGATGCACTTTCAGAGAAAGGCTGATAGGGAGTTCATATACTTTTTTTTTTTTTTTTGGTGCCTTCTAATCAGTCTTGACTCCTGGCAACTGCCTGGACAAGTCCCTACAAATGTACTTGGCAAGATTTTTGGAAGTGGTTTGCCTCTGCCTTCTTCTTAGGGCAGAGAGAGAGTGCCTGGCTCAAAGTCACCCAGCTGGCTTCATGCCTAAGGTGGGACTGGCACTCACCATCTCCCAGTTTCTAGCCCTGGTGCCTTTAATCACTACACTCAACTGGAGACTGCAAGGAAGAGATTAGAGTCAACCTACTGTGGCTACCTGAGCAAGCTGGTAGCTACTTACAATAGCTATCAAAGGGGTAATATCAGGATCTCAACAGGTCTCTTGTATAATGCACAACCTTTACCTGGAATTAAAGCTGATGCTGCCCTTTGTTTCACTGCAGGTATTGACTGCCAGTGGATGAATGCACTGAAAATGCACCGTGTGACAAGCAGTCCTTCTCTCCAGCATTCCCGCCCCCACAGTCCCAACAACTTAACCCATTTTTTACCCTACCTTCACAATCAAGACACTTACGCTGCTGCTGTGAGGCGGACTCCAGCGCCCACTACCTATCATATTACCCCACTTAATCAGTCAAGAAGCTCATCACCCACAACCTATTTATCATCTTTACATCTGAATTCCAAGGGAAGCAACAGCTCCAGTGCGACTTCTGATAGTCCATCAGAAATGGGCAGCTCTAAAACCAAAAGCAGGAATAACTATCACAGCAGCGTCTCTCCTGGTGGGTCCACAGCTGGAAAGCGTTTTGTAAGAAACTCAACAGCTCAAGGGACCATGAGAAATGCTGGGAAATATCCCAGGTCTTCCCAGTCAACCTTCAATCAATATCAACATCTGCCGAGATCGCACGAGAAAAAACACACTCATTACCCGCAGCAGCTCAAATCAATACCAGGGATGCCCTTGAAAACTGAAACAGAAGAAGAAGAAGAAAGCAAAGTCAATGAAGGTGGATGGGTGAAAGTCAATTATTCAAAGAAATCTTACCGACATACTGTTGGCAAACAAAATAAAGAGAAATCAAAAGACACTGGAACGCTTCAGAAAAAGTCCCGCTGATGCTCTTTCAGAATGGGTTTTATTTTTTATGGCACAGAACACTAACTTTCCATGGAGAATGTTTCAAATTGTTCTTAAAATAGCTTACAATGAATATGAGAATGGGTGGCCTGCAACAGAAATCATCTGGGAGGAATGCTGTTAGTGCAGCCTTGGGTGCTGATGGATACAGTTTTAACGCATTATAAGCCCAATATAGCCTCCTGCCTGAATCAAAGAATAAGATAGCAATCCTCCCTTCCCTGTGAAACCACACCACCTGACAGCAGCTGGGTAGTGTTACTGGGCCTGAAGCAAGCTATCTTAGGTGCCAGGAGGAATGCAGAGGGACTACAGTCCCAGCCCCCAAAATCTGGTGTCTGAGACTCCACCGAAATGGTGGAGCTGATCAGGCACTAAAGGTTCTGTTTCTTTAGTTTGTCTGCTTCTAATCAGGTACTTTTTACTTAAGCTTAATATTTCCATTAGCATTCTATTATAGATCACTATGCTTTGTTATTTCCAATACTCTGATCCAGTACTGAGACAGTGACAAAAAAATTACTGCTTAAACCTACAGATGATGACTGAAGTAGTCTACTGGATTATTTTCTCCTTGGCTTGATTTCTTAGCAGCACCTCCAGGTTACTACATCAATCCTCCATTTAGAGATAAGCCCCATCTACTTCCATTGGAATTATTTTTATGGTTAGGGAAAAGTATAACAGCTTCTACAAAGAACAAAAATATTACAATAAGAAAAAAGGCCTTGATAAACCTCATTTGTTTTTGATACAACTATTTATTAACATAAGGTTAACCCTCAGACTGTCTATTGTCTTCAAATAATAAAAAGAAACACAATACTTATTCATATATTTTGCAATTCCATTGAAACTGAATATTTCTTCGTTTTCCTGGACATATCTACAAGAAAGGAAACTCCAATGTGTTAAATAGGATTTTCTTTGAAGTAAAGGATTAGGTGACATGAAATTCGCCTGTTTCTCCAATTGCAATTTTCATAAATGCAATGACACTATATAAATATTAGATTGTGTTTAGATAAATAAATAAAACTTAACTCCTAACTTACACACCCTTCATCTTTTGAATTATAAGGAAAGGGAAAGATTTGAAAAAGCATTGTTTAAAGTAATCTGTTACTTAGCTGAGGAAGCAAGGAATAAAGACGTCTTATTTAACAAATCTTTTCCTCTTCTTCATACAGTAGCAGATTTTTAACAATAGAAAAGTAAACCACTTCAGCCAGCAGTAAAACTAGAGTTCATTTCTCATTCAAGGAGCTATTGCTTTGATTGACTCAGGTCTCTCATATTTCTAGGAAGAAGAGTGGTCTCCTAGGGGTCGTGCAGGTGCTCCTTATTTGTTCAGCAGGTAATCGGAGGAAAGAAGCTTTATGGATGCATGTATTTACTTACTAGATTTATATGGCTGTCCACCTCACATAAGCGGCTCTGGGCAGCTAACCCAATAAAAACATCAATATAATAAGGATACAATAAATAAATCATACAAAACAAAAGCGCAAACCAGTCAATAACAAAGAGATTCAACCGACAGACTCAACTCCCTCCCGACCCCCATGCCTGAGAGAAAAGCCATGTCTTAATGGCTTTATGAAAGGCTAGCAGGGTTGGAGATAATCTAATCTCAAAAGGAATAGGATTCTAGAGAGCAGGTGCTGCTACAGAAAATGCACATTTCCAAGATCCCACCGGATGACATTCTTTAATTGATGGGACCTAGAGTATACCCCTTCAGCCAGGTCTGATGGGTCAGGTAGAGACAACTAGACAGAGGCAGTCTCTCAAATAATGTGGCCTCATATCATCAAGGACTTTACAGGTGACAATCAGCACCCTGAATTGCACCCAGAAGCCTATTGGGACCAGTGCAGCTTGCAAAGCAAGTGTGTAACATGGACATACCAAGGCATGCCTTAATTGCTCACTGCTGCATTCTGGACCAACTGCAGCTTTAGATGTTCTTCAAGGGCCGATGTATGTAGAGCATATTGCAGTAGTCCACATGGGAGGTGACCAAAGCATGAGTGACTGTACACAGTGTCGCCTGATCCAGGAAAGTGTACAATAGGTACACAAAACAGAATTATGTAAAAACTCTCCTGGCCATGGCTGCCACTTGTTCCTCGAACAGGAACTGTGAGTCCAGGAGGACCCTCAAATTGTGCACTGGTTTCGTCTGAGGCAGTGAAACCCCATCCAAAACTAAAGCTGGAAAATCACTGGATCCAGCAGGCCCTAAAACCTTGGATGGAGTTGAAACCTATTCTTCCCCATCCAGTCCTCCACAGCATCCAGCCACCAAGGCAGAACCTTCACAGCATCACTTGGGTATCACCAAGGCAGAGATGTACAATTGGGTATCACCAGCGTACTGATGATACCTCACTCCGTGCCACTGAATGACCTCATCAGCAACTTCATGTAGATGTTAAAGAGGTGTGAGGAGAATGTCAAGGAACTCTGCAAAAAAGAGGACATGGGCTTGACTTCTCCCCAACCCATCAACACTGACTGCAACCAACTGTGGAGGAAGGGGGGAGAACTAGTGCAAGGCTGTGTCCCCAACTCCCAACTGCTGGAGCTGATCCAGAAGGATACCATGACTGATGGTACTGAAAGCTGCTGAGGAATCGAGAGCCAGGATGGATACATCACCCTCACGCCCCAGATCTTGGCCCTTGCAATTCCTAGTTGTTGTCTTTGAACTCATGAGGCCCCGATCACATCCCATGAAAAAAACAGGTTTAGGGTCTGAAAGAAAAAAAAGAAAGAGAAAATAATAATTATAAATAATTGAAATATAACTGAGTATGTGAGAGTTATGCTTATGTGCTGGGGTACCTACCCTCAGAATTTATCAGCTCACTATAGTTGATTATCAAGATGTACAAACAGATTCCAGGCCTCAGTAGCCACGAAGAACAAATTTCACTCCCTGTGGTTTAAGCACGTGCTTCTTTCACCTCAAATTCCTGTTCCCGTTAAAATACCTTCAGATTTACTACACCCACCACTTCAAATCCAGCCATACGACTCAAGAGAACCCCCTCGAAGCTCTAGACGTACTTGTGTCAAGGGATGAGAATAAGATAAGCTTCTGGTAACCCTTATTTGCAGCCTTTTCTCACCTACGCAACACCTAGGTTGCAACGGATGCTAAAAGTGAAACTAATGTATGCTGCTGTGGGTTGAGTGGGCGGATGTTTGCAGCATCTTAATTAACAAATAGGCACACATTGCTTGGCTGCCTTCACTCAGGAATCTAAATATGGATCAAGGGGCAGAAAGAACATATCTATCTTAACACAACTGTGAAGTCCCCGCGCCACCGTGTTGCCAAAATGATCAAGACTGCCCCTGTCTAGCAGTTACCTTAAGCACTGCAACCTTCTGTAACCAAAGATTAGACAGTATTAAACTTCAGACCAAACATAAACGGTTGTGGTTTCATTTAATCTACGGCAAAAAGATCAGAATTCCTGGTACCTGTAACCCACCTTTGTCGCTTAGTGGGATAGCATTGTGTGCACCTTTGTATTTTAAGAAAACCTTCCTATTTCATAATGTTGTTCTTTTCTTTCACTGTTAGTAGCCTAAAATAGCAGCCTCTCACTGCTTAGGAAGTGATGCCGGGTAGCTCTGTCAAGCTAATTTATATGCAGACTATTATGTCAATAAATCCACCCTCTTCCCCACATGAAAGTTGTTGCGCTAATTTTCATTCCCAGCAACTTCCTCCAATGTACCAGGCCATATTTGGCGATCACTGCCAGGAGTGTGAGCAGGTAGCCTGCTTGGGCAAGACATCAAAACCTCCATCCAATGACCATTATCTGGCAACTTGCTGAGCTGATTTAATGAGGTGAAGTTGCTCAGAAAGACTTTGTTCTTCCATTTCCTCCTGTGAGAAATCACTCAAAACAATGACCTCGACAGGTTGCTCTTCTTAGAACAATTCTCCTTTCTAACTCCACGGAGGCTGCAGAGAATGAAATTACATCTCCTCGCCCCTATGTGTTCTATAAATTCACTCCTAGGAATACTGAGTTTAGACATAAAAAGATAGGGGGGTTTTTTATTATTTTTTTTCCCCACGTAATGTGGCCTTTGCAGTAATTATTTTTATTTTTTTAGATAAGTAAATGTGTACTTCCTTTAATAACTATGAGAGAGGGAAAATCATAGGAGCATTTTACAAGAATGTAATGATCTCTCTTGAAATCTAACTTAGTTTTCTGTGCAAGTATATTGTCTGTGGGTGAGTGGGCACACATTTCTTTTTCTTTTCTTGATGATCTATTAAAAGTCCAAGAAATGAATAATTCAAATCAATTTGTTATGAGACACTGAGTTTGTAGGAGTCATGTTATGGCAATAAAATGAATGAAGCTGCCTAGCTGGCCCTGGAGTTACAAAAATCCTCTTGTACCATATAGAAAGAAAAAAAAAAATCAGAAGGATTAGTATGAGGGAGAAACTATTTGGCTATTAAGGCTTAATTCTTCCTGAATATAAATTGCCACGGAAAGCTGTAATGATGACATGACTAGTTTTGCAGCCAGGCACTTCTTCCCACAGCTACAACCAGAGTTGTAATTTGCAGCGGTGCACTTCTATGTACGTGTTTGAGGGAGAAAGAGAGTAACGGTGTTGTGGATTCAGTCTGAAGAAGGAGTGCAACACTGAAGAGAAGAACCGTGTTTATTGTAAGGATTGTTGGGGGCCTGCTTTACAAGAAAGAGGGACCTTGAACAACGGGAAAGCAAAGATTTTATAGGAGTTGCGGCCGGCAAGGCGGGAAGCCCTGGGGATCTGACTGGGTGGCCGGGCTGGGGAAGCGAGGCAGGTCCTCGTCCCTGCCGCTGGGTGAGGCAAAGCGGCCCTTCCGGAGGGCAGCAGGGCTGGGACGGTCCGCCGCGAGGGAGGCGGCCTGTGGAGGCCCTCGGCTGGGGCTCCTCGCCTGCTCCCGGGCGGCTCCCCTATCAGGGCCGCCCTTGGTCTGTGCTGCGAGCTGCTCAGGAGGCGCCTGTGCTCTGGTGGAGATGGGCCTGCAGGGGGGCTTTGTCTGGGGCAGGGAGGGTCAATTTGGGCCTGGTGGGATTAGGCAAAGAGAGGAACTGGGTTTGACCTGGTCATGTCTAAAAGACGGGGGAAGAAAAGGGTGCGGTCTCCATTTTGTTTGTTTGGCTTATTTTCTCCACTACAATGGTTCACTTGAGTCTAGAGGCTGGGAAGTGAGAAGTGGCAAAGCTTT